GGTTCGAATCACATACACCTATCTTTGCCATCAATTGTACAGAGTTGGGTACACAGATCAAAGCTTGAACAATGCTGATCCAGTGTGTGTATAAATGCCCCCTGTTATGTCTGCACTTGAGAATGATACCCTGCTTCAAACATCAGATCGAAATCTTGATTACAATGGCACTGAGAAGCAGTGAGGCAAGACATGGCTGTCGCATTGTTGGTTCTAAACAAAATCTTTCTGTATGAGAGAAACTTGCAGTTAATGTGATAATTATTTTGTGGAGTCACAAAGATCCTGGGCCTGAAAGTCCATTAAATGACACTGCCAGACATGAAGGCCATGGGTTCCCAAACCACCAGATACTTGGGAATGTACGGTCCACTACAGTAATTTCCTTTGAATACTGTCTGTTTGTCTGAGTTGTTGAAAAACTTGCCCTGTGAGCTTCATATATGTATATAAAGATGCTTGTGAGTCCAAAACAATGAAATAGTCTTAGACACAGAACAGTGTGTGATATCAAACCCACTATTCAGAAGTCCCCTCATTTAAGTGATGCATTATGGATGACTGAGTTCACATGTGTTATGTTTCTCTGATCAAGGGACGGACCACTGCTGCTATTTCCATCCCCCAGATACATCAAATGATGTATGTGTTGTAGTTACGACTTCCTTTTGTTGATTACAAATCCCAGTGACACCAGAACGGACAGAGAAAGTCCAGACGCTTGACCAGGTAACTATGATTGATAGTGGAAAGGCCATCACTGTACAGATACATGAAATCACCCCTGACACCACAGTCATGCAGATTTGGTAAACATGTACAATACTTTGAATTTGTACACTATCTGATCAATCATAAATACCCTTAGATCTAAATCCACCAGAACAGTATTTGACTCGACACCATGAACTGAGATGTAACCATCTTGAGCTGAATGCAAGTGTTCAGTGGGATAGATTTAATACTGCTAGAAATCCATCTGTGACTTAATTTGTACCTAGAACAGATGACTAAACCTACCAGGACCTGGCCCCACAATGTTAACAGAACTGTAATATACAATGTATGTCTACATAGTGCATATTTTAATGGGGTTCATTTGTAATGGGCAGATAGGTACCATTGTCCATTGAGGCAGAAGTGGTACTTGCCTTATGACACCTCATCCACTAATGCGGTAAGCAGTATCCTTCAGGTATCAAGCAGGGGATAAGCCAATATTGTGACCAGGATTGTAATGATGTTGAACAAATTTCAGTCACAGTGGTGTCTGTGTCCCCAGGGGCCTAGATTACCAAAGCTAAGGATATGAAAGCTAACAATATGAAGTGTGTTGGCAGAGAATTGTCCAGTAACACAGGGGATGTGAGGAGCTAGTGTTGGCAGAGAATTGTCCAGCTACACAGGAGATGTGAGGAGCTAGTGTTGGCAGAGAATTGTCCAGCTACACAGGAGATGTGAGGAGCTAGTGCTGGCAGAGAATTGTCCAGCTACACAGGAGATGTGAGGAGCTAGTGTTGGCAGAGAATTGTCCAGCTACACAGGAGATGTGAGGAGCTAGTGTTGACAGAGAATTGTCCAGTTACACAGGAGATGTGAGGAGCTAGTGTTGGCAGAGAATTGTCCAGCTACACAGGGGGTGTGAGGAGCTAGTGTTGGCAGATAATTGTCCAGCTACACAGAGGATGTGAGCAGCTAGTGTTGGCAGAGAATTGTCCAGCTACACAGGGGGTGTGAGGAGCCAGTGCTGGCAGAGAAATGTCCAGCTACACAGGAGATGCGAGGAGCTAGTGTTGGCAGAGAATTGTCCAGCTACACAGGGGATGTGAGGAGCCAGTGCTGGCAGAGAAATGTCCAGCTACACAGGGGATGTGAGGAGCTAGTTTTGGCAGATAATTTTCCAGCTACACAGAGGATGTGAGCAGCTAGTGTTGGCAGAGAATTGTCCAGCTACACAGGGGGTGTGAGGAGCCAGTGCTGGCAGAGAAATGTCCAGCTACACAGGGGATGCGAGGAGCTAGTGTTGGCAGAGAATTGTCCAGCTACACATGGGATGTGTGGAGCTAGTGCTGGCAGAGAAATGTCCAGCTACACAGGGTATGTGTGGAGCTAGTGCTGGCAGAGAAATGTCCAGCTACACAGGGGATGCGAGGAGCTAGTGTTGGCAGAGAATTTTCCAGCTACACAAGGGATGTGAGGAGCTAGTGTTGGCAGAGAACTGTCCAGCCACATAGGGGATGTGAGGAGCTAGTGTTGGCAGAGAATTGTCTAGGTACACAGGAGATGTGAGAAGCTAGTGTTGGCTGAGAATTGTCCAGCTACACAGAGGAGTCAGCTATATACAGCAGAACCAGAAATAACAGTTGAATGCTGATGACTCAGACATTGAGTATTTGGTGATTTAGTTGTAACCAATTCAGCCAAGCTTCTTTTAGGTGCTGTTCTGAATTTATACTGACAGATGAAGTAGTTTCAGCATGTGACCTGTGAACTTGCAGACAATTGCTCAACATAACTACCTTCATTCATTTATTCTTTTGATGGTTAGTGATCCACCTACTTGACTCTCTCTGAATGAAATCAATGCTTACTTCAACCAACTCTTTTCATATAATATATAATATATTATGTATAAAGGTTTATGCTAGCATTCTCCATTCATTCAGTAAGTGATCATTGGTGGTGAAACATTGCTATTCACTGAAGATTGCAAACTTGCATTCATACATTTTACAGAGATACGTCCATAAAATGACTATGTGAGTAATTCCATGCAGAATGCAGGTGACACTGAAATCCATCTGAATACCGTGACACTCGTATAATGTGAGTGACGTACTTGATAGGTATAGGATAAAGAAAACAATACACAATCAGCATATCTTTCATTATTCACGTTGTTAAAATAAATAATGTTGTACCTGATAACAAAAAACACATCTGAACATGTTGGAATGGACAACATATTCTGTATTGTGGGACACATCCTTGCATGCAAGCATGTCAAGTTGATATATCACAATTGTGAAAATATTTAGTTAATGTTTTTAAACTTAAAAAGACACAGAGGCTAGACCATTCACTGTAATGAGTGAATAATTTAATGCTTCAAACAACATGTATTTATGGAAACCATGGTAAAATATAAACAATCCACACAAGCACCATTTGATATGTCAGCATTTTGTTACAGCAAATTTTACATAATCATATTCACAAATAATCCTAAGATTCTATCATTAATGAACCCTGACCGAAAAACAAGCAAAAAATTACTTAGATATTTAGATTGGTAAATTGGTAAAAAGCATACAATTCATAATTCATATACAAAATCCAGTAACCCAAGAGAATTTAAATTATCTAATCACAACATATAATTTAGGAAAGTTTCAGGAAATTCACAGTGTGTTAGCTG